CCCCAACCCCCCACCCAAATTGGGCATTTGATTGTCCCCAGTGTTCAAAGTTCTACCTACAGAGAAGGGGAGCACGGAACGTCATCTCTCTTTTGTTTTGCTTATATGTTTCCTTTTTCTTCGTTTTTTAATATTGTTGTTTGCTTTTTTGTCTTTTTGTTTTTTCTTTTTGTGCAGCAGGTCTCATTTTCTCAGCATATAATAGCATATATCCTTTCAAATTTATTAAAGTTTAAAGAAGAAAAAAATAATAAAACCTCCTTTTGATGGTGTGGAGTCTGTGGACCTTTGTTTTGTCAAAATTTTCTTCTTTTTCTTGTTTTCTGCCTTCTGATGTTTGGTCATTTGTCTCCTGTCCGACAGATCCGACTGACAAGGACGTATGGATGGACGACCGCAGAATGAAGCTATGGAGCTATGGAGCTATGGCGGAATGCTGACCAGACCCACATGTAATCTCCAGCTCTGCGCACTGGGATGATTTCACTTTCATTTATACAAAAAAATAATAAGTGGTAATTTGCAAAATAGCCCCGTAAGTTTAGACATATGCCAAATGCCCCTGAAAGATGTGGGTAGAGCGGAATGCCCTTTTGGGCCGAAATCTTTGTGTTGTGTCCCTGTCAGGGGGGTGTGCAAATTTGCAATCTTGACCTCCCCGTTTGGGCCTTGGCCTTTTGCAATATAGCGCCTAGGAGAAGTTGGCAAGTACTGGGGCATTTTGCAAAGTTGGGGTACCCGGTAGGAGTGTATTGCAAATATGGGGGTTCAACTGACGCCAGGGGTATTTCACAAATTTTGTTTTTTTTTGTCAGAGGGGCATTCCGCTCTACCCACATCTTTTAGGGGCATTTTGGCATACATCCTTGGCTTCATTTCCATGCGCACGGGTATCCCCGACACCGTGATATATCTCAATTTCTGGGGGTATTTTGCAAATTATCCCAAATAATAATAATATAATAATAACTTAAAAAAAAGTTCAGAGAGAGTCAAAGCACGCAGTGCCAGACACAATCAATATAAATTAGAAATTTCAAATTAGATATTTATGTAAGGGAGAGTGGAATAGCGCAAGCCAAGGATTGGAGAGAGAGAGAGAGAGAGAGAGAGAGAGAGAGAGAGAGAGAGAGAGAGAGAGAGAGAGAGAGAGAGAAGGATCAGAGTAGTTGGGGCACACCAGGCCCCAAGCACAGCGAGAGGGAAACGATGATTGTGCAGCAGGAGCATGTGACACTCGAGGGTCGACCATGGCTATCTGCAGTCGAGCAACGCAACTGCGTGGTGGCGGTCAGTTGAGTTCGCTTCCTTTAGGAGTACCGTTGCCAGAGGGGGGGGGGGGGGGGGGGGGGGGGGGGGGGGGGGGGGAAGTAGTAGTAGTAGTAGTAGTAGTTTTGCTGTTATCTAATGGACTCTGGTTGTCCTGCTACTTTATGTACTATGCAGTCTTCCTTTGAAATAAATATGGCTACTCTTTACCTCCAAGCAATTTGTGAGCAGTTCGGCCGTCAAGTAGCATACACGTCAATCAGGGCAAGGCGTCACCTTTTTCTAAGGCGCAGGCTTTGGGCTTGACATCAACTTGGAGCCCTCCTGGAGCCCTTCCTGTTCCAGCAATGAAGCTCTCTATCTCCTACTGTCTCCCCGCGAATAGAACGTTCAACGTATGGTGATTATCAGCTGTATCGAGATGGAAAGTTGCCCCAAATTCAGATGTAATGACCGTCCGTTGTGTTCGGTTGAAGATGGTTGTAACGCAATTTGTCCCAGCACAGCACAGCATATGGTTTTCTGGTAGGGCATGAATATCCCCAAAGGTGCTTTTTTTTTTTTCTTTTTTTATATGAAAAATTGTATGAATAAGAAGGCACTTTGATTCTGGAATCTATCAGGTTTTGTTTCTCCAGATAAGTGAAAGGAAAGCAAAGGAAAGGAAAGAAAAGGAAACGAAATGAGACGAAACAAGACGAAATGAGACAAAACAAAACCTTATGATTGATGTGTGAAACGCTCAGCAATGCATTGATCAGTGACGCCCTTGAATTGCTCCTCTGAAAAAGGTAAACAATCTGTATTATGTTTTTTCCTGAAAAGCATTTTTTGAAAGGCCTTCCGCGATTCAGACCCCAAATTCGGGTCTCAGGGTCAGAGGCCAAGTCAAGAGAGGCCGAGTTCGTCAAATTCAGAAAAGTCACACTCGGGTACCTCAGGAGTCCAGTCCCACAGGCACCCAGCAAACAGTCACATCTTAGGGGCAAGAGTCACGTCTCATAATGAAAAGTCATATGGAAGAGTCACATCCCACGAGTAAAAGGGCAGTTCCACATGCAGGAGTCATGTCCCAGAGGCAGGAGATACAGTCCACAGTCAAAAGTCATGTTCACAAATGAAAAGTCATGACCCAAAGGCCCAAGCAGCAGCAGACCAATGGAAATTCGGGAAGGTTCCAGGCCTTGACATTCAGAAGCAGACAGGCCGTGGGGATGTGTTACCGGAACCAGTCAGGCCCCAGAAAGCAGAGGCTAGCACGAGTTGAAGAGCATTCCAAGACTACAGAAGGACTGGCCAGCCTACCATTCAGGCGGATTGCTCATTCGCAAGAAGTACGGAAGTGCTGGTGCACTTGTGCGCTAATGTGAGGGGCAGAGCGCTGAAGCCAGAGTGCTGCGTGAGGAGAGAGAGAGAGACAGACAGAGAGAGAGAGAGAGAGAGAGAGAGAGAGAGAGAGAGAGAGAGAGAGAGAGAGAGAGAGAGAGAGAGAGAGAGACAGCACTGGCAGGGAGAAGGCAGCCATAGCTGCGCCAGGGCAGGGTGTTAGTGTTAGTATTTAGTAGTAGTCTTCAGAGAGTTAGTAGACTTGACAGTGGGTGTATTCAGAATAGTTCCTTGGGTAGAAGATAGTGAGTGTGCATGCAAGTAGGGAGGGAAGATTCAGCGAGGACATAGCTAGAGAGGAGACCAGTGAGGAGAGGAGATACACAAGAGAGAAGAGCAGAGAGGAAGGGATACTTACCTGAGAGTTTATCCTTTTTTTTTTGTGAGAACATTTGAGATCATTTGAGATACCGGGGCCATTACCTGGCTTCGGCTGAGAACATGATGTGAACATGATGTGATTCAGAAAGCATGGGAAGGATCATGAATATCTAATGACCTATTAAGGAACTAGTCATTCAATAGGCTGCCACAGAGGTCCTACGAATGCTCACAACCCTCAGGATCCCTAAAAAACCCTTCTAAGACTTTCCAACACAGTCTTACTTCCTGCTGAGCTCTTCCAGGCCTCACGCCCCCACCCTGGTGGGTTACAGGGCAACACAACTCGCCCCAACTCTGACCAGCGTCGTCCCAGCAGCAACCCTTGGTTGTCCCTTGGGATGCCCACCCCAAAGCATCCCCAGATCTCTCTACGAGGCCCCATGCTCCTGCATCAGCAGGTTACAGGGCAACACCCCAGCACCGGCCAGCGTCGTTCTGGCATCGAACAGCCGCAGATCACTGAGTATAACAGCATCGAAACCGCCTAGTAAGATGGGTTGCTAAGAGTCCCTAGAGTCCTAAGACATTCATAAGAACAACGGACTTCTTTTCCACTATTCAGACTCTACCAAGTCACTAGAATAGGTGTGTCAAACAGCCTCCCAACCACGAATCAGATAGGTGAAACCTATTCAATCCACCTAGGACCACCAGCAGCATGGCTGTTTTCAGCACGAACCGAAGCTCTTCCAGGCCTCATGCTCCCATCAGGTTAGGTTACAGAGTTGCACCACCTTGCTCCAGCACCGGCCAGCATTGCTCAGTTACGACCCCCGATGACCACTGAGATTGCCCCCGCAAGCAGCCCCCCAGAGCTCTCTACCAAGCCTCACGCCCCCACTAAGCTAGGTCACAGAGTTGTGCCACCTGGCTCCGGCTCCGGCCAGCGTTGCTCCAGCATCGGTCTTCGAGGGCCACCGA